GAAGCCACTCATGAAAGAGACAAAGACACCAAAGCTACTAAGATAGCTTTAGGAACATCCAAGTATGAAAACTTCAAAATGAAGGCCGGAGAATCCGTTCAAGACATGAACAAGTGATTCAACCTCATCGTCAACAACTTGAGTAAGCTAAATAAAATTTATTCCAAAAGTGAGATTAACACCAAGATTATATTTTCTCTTCTTGGAGAATGACATTGTCTTGTTGTAAATTTGTTGCCCAAATGTGCGGATGTTGAAACCTACACCATTTGGAGCAGCCTATATTCTCACGAGCTTCTTTTGAAGAAAATGAAGGAAGAAGAATAGGTTCCTATCGTAAAGAAGACCATGACACTCAAGGTTGATAACCACTCGGAAAGCGAGGGAGAAAGTGACGAGGAACTTGTATCTTTTGAACAGGTTCAAAAGATACAAGAAGTTCATGAAATGGAATAAGGGTGAATCCTCAAAGAGATTTCCACCAAAGAAAGGTAAATCTAATTAGATAACTTGTTATGAATGTGGAAATGTGGGGCATATTAAACCGGAATGCCCAAAGCTCAAAAAGAAGGAAGAGCTTAAAAATGGGAAGAAGAAGGCATTGAAGGTCACTTGGGATGATTTAAATTTGGACAAAAGTGATAGTGACCAAAGCCAAGAAGAAAACACAAATGCTTGCTTCATGGCCTCAAACGATGAAGAAGAGGTTAGTTCTCAAAACTCATTCACTTCTTTTGAAAGTCAATTTACTTTTGATGAGTTAAGGCAAGCGTTTGATGAATGCTAAGAGGACCTTTTTCGAACCATTAGGTAGAAAAAGGAACTCAAAGTGGCTCTTGAAACTTCTTGGGATGAAAACAAAGATTTAAAACTTAATCTTGAGAAGCTTCAAAACCAAAATGAAGAATTTCAAAAGAAAATTGAAATTTTAATTAAAGAAAAGGACAAGGCGAAACAAGTGGCTTTGGAAATGTTTTACGATAGCTATAGCACAATGAAGATATGGGATAACCAACCGAAACTAACGATAGAAGGTATTGGTTATGGTCAACCCACAAATTTTATGAGCATGGCTAAGAACCATTTTAATACCTCAAAAACTACCCCATCAAACAAAGCCTCAACTTCCAAATCAAAAATAAAACTTGTCATTATTGCATGCAAGCTAACCATATTGTGACAAAGTGTCCTAATAAACAGTTAGTTGAAATGCATAAATTAAAATGGGTCAAGGAGGGTTCTAACCGGTCGAAATCCAAGAATATTGGATATCAAAAGAAACTATTTGTGCAGGAAAATAAAAGAAATGATGGTAGATATTATTTCTTTTATTATGATGAAAAACGAAAAGGCCATATACCACTTCCGGAACCAACCAAGACAAAACCCGTATATCGACATAGGGTATTTGTCGATTGGAACCCCAAACCTATGTCAAAAGTAAATTTCTCTTTGACTAGGTGAAAAACACCACTTGGGTTGTGGTAGTGGATGTTCAAGGCACATGACCGGAACAAGAGCGTGGTTTACAAATCTCAAGGAGAAAAGTCATGGACACATAACTCTTGGAGACAAATCCCGGAAGAAGGTCATTGGTAAAGGTACGATAGGTATTTCAAGTGATTTTTTAATAAATGATGTTTATTTTGTTAATGGCCTAAAGTTTAATTTAATTAGCATAAGCCAACTTTGTGACAATGGCCACAAAATTGAGTTTAATGCAAACTCCTGCATTTTATATGGCCAAAACAAAGATGAAATCATTTTTGAGGCTAAAATAGATGAAAACTTATACAAGTTCAATTCCAATGACTTGAGCAACTCAAAAATCACTTGTCTTACTACTTCGCTTGAATTTTCCACATTATGGCATCGTAGACTAGGACATGCTAGCTAGTTATGATCTTTTGAGAAAACTTTACTCAAAAGAACTTGTTGTTGGGCTACCAAAGATGAGCATAACCCCTTCTTGTTTTTGTGATGCATTCTCTCTCGGAAAACATAAAAAAGCATCATTTAAACCCATTAAAAAAGTTTTAACATCAAGGCCTCCTGAACTATTGCATATGGATCTATTTGGGCCCGTAGATGTTCAAAGCTTGGGTGGAGCTAGTTTTACTTTTGTCATAGTAGATGATTTTTCTCGTTATACTTGGACTATATTACTTGCCAATAAAGATCATGCTTTTAATGCGTTTGTTAAATTGTGCAAGAAAATTCAAAATGAGAAAGGCCATACTATAACCTCCATTAGGAGCGATAGAGGTGGAGAATACCGAAATACCAACTTTGAAACATATTGTGATAAACACGGTATTTCTCACAACTTCTCGGCCCCAAGGAGACCTCAACAAAATGGAGTTGTTGAAAGGAAGAATATGACGTTGCAAGAAATGTCAAGGACCATGCTAAATGAGCATAATCTGCCTCAATACTTTTGGGGAGAAGCGTTCAACACGGCATGCTATGTTCTAAATAGGGTATTACTAGACCTATTATAATAAAAACCCCTTATGAACTTTGGAAAGGTAGAAAACCAAACACTGCCTACTTCAAAGTTTTTTTGGTTGTAAATGTTATATCTTGAATACCAAGGATCACTTAGGCAAATTTCAGCCCAAATCAAATGAAGGAATCTTCCTTGGATATTCAATAAATAGTAGAGCCTATAGGGTATATAATAAATCAAATCATAAAGTAGAAGATTCTATGCATGTAAAATTTGATGAGACCGATCCCTTCGGGTCGAGTAAGGTAATTGCAGGTTCCAATGAAGGAGAAGAGAAGGAAGAATCCCAGGAAATTCCTGCACAAGAAGAAGAAAATGAAGAAAAGAAACTTCGAAAGGCATACAAGCACTTGAAGAATCATCCAAGAGACATTATCATCAGAGATATTGAAAAGGGAGTTAGAACTAGGAAAAATTACAATCTTTGTGCACACTATGCGTTCGTTAGTCAATTTGAACCTAAGAACGTAGAAGATGCACTAAAAGATAGTGATTGGATTATATCCATGCAACTAGAGCTAGAGCAATTTGAACGTAACAAGATTTGGGAACTAGTCGAAAGCCTGGAAAATTGACCTGTTGTGGGCACCAAATGGTCTTTAGAAACGAGCTGATGAAAATGGTATTATGATCACCAATAAAAGTCGACTTGTTGCTAAAGGCTATAGCCAAGTTGAAGGACTTGACTATGATGAAACTTTTGCTCTGGTTGATAGGCTTGAATCTATTCAAATGTTATTAGCTTTTGCAAGTGCCCTTGACTTCAACCTCTTTAAAATGGATGTGAAAAGTGCTTTTCTAAATGGGTGGTTGAAAGAAGAAGTTTACGTTGAACAACCTCCCGGCTTTGAAAATCCTGATTTTCCAAATTATGTTTTTAAACTTCATAAGGCCCTTTATAGACTCAAACAAGCTCCTAGAGCTTCGTATGAGCGACTTACCGAACATCTCATCTCACATGGATTTGCAAAAGGAAATATCAATTCCACACTTTTTGTCAAAACAAAAGGAAAAATTTTTATCATTGTGCAAATTTATGTTTATGATATCATTTTTGGGTCAACTAATGAAGCCTTATGTAATAAATTTTCAGGAATTATGACAAGTGAATTTGAAATGAGCATGATGGGTGAGTTTGATTTCTTTCTTGGACTTCAAATTAAGCAACTTGAAAATGACATATTTATTAGCCAAACCAAGTATGCCAAAGAACTAGTCAAGAATTGAAATCCAACCTTGAAGACTCAAAGACATACCCAACTCCAATGAGCACATCCTTGAAGCTTGATAGCGACGAAAGCGGAAAACCTGTAAGTGAAAAGGTATATCGATGTATGATTGGAAGTTTGCTTTTCTTGACTGGATCTAGACCCGATATAATGTTTTCCATTTGCCTTTGTGCACGTTTCCAACCATCACCCAAAGAATCACATCTAAACGTTGTCAAGCGAATAATTCGATAAGTCAAGGGAACAACCACTATGGGTTTATGGTATCCCAAGAATACAAATTTAAGCTTGATAGGTTTTAGTGATGCGGACTTTAGAGGGTGTCGCATTGATCGGAAAAGCACAAGTGGCACATGTCAATTCGTAGGTCATGCACTAGTTTCTTGGTCATCTAAGAAACAACACTTCGTCGCCCTATCCACCGTCGAAGCGGAACATGTGGCTATGGCTAGTTGTGTTGCTCAAATTTTTTGAATGATGCAAACACTTGGTGACTTTAACATAAAATTTTCAAAAGTACCTATCTTTTGTGACAATTCTAGTGCTATAAATATTTCCAAAAATCCCGTGTTGCATTCTAGAACTAAGCGTATAGAAATAAGACATCACTTTATTCGTGATCATGTTGCAAAAGGTGATATTCAAATTGAGTATGTGAATACACTTGATCAACATGCCGACATTTTTACAAAACCTCTTGATGAAAAACAATTTTTACATATTTGTCGGGAAATGGGAATGCTTGAATTAAAGTACATTTGAGTATCCTATACTCCTAATTTTATATATATATATATATATATATATATATATATATATATCTATATATGTATATATATATATATATATATATATATATATATATATATATATATATATCTATATACAACAACAACAACAACAACCCAGTTGGATCCCACTACAGTAGGGTCTGGGGAGGGTGTGTGTACGCAGACCTTGCCCCTACTTGGAAGCAGGGAGGCTGTTTCCAAGATATATATATATATATATATATATATATATATATATATATATATATCAAATGATCAAGTCAAAATGCTCAGAACTAAAACCTAGAGGTCGATCCAACATTTTGAGCTAAAGCACGGTACCAAGTACGTACCGTCTCCATGGTAGGGCCTATCGTGGCTATATTACGTCGGTACCGTTTGGATGCAAAAACCACCAGATAGACAGATTTTTGGACTCCTCATGGTAGGCTGTTACGGTATGCCATACCGTTGGCACGGTACCAAGGTACCGGGATCACGGTACCGAGGTACCGACCGTCTCGATGGGTCAACTTCTTTAAAAACCCTAAAACTATTTCATTTCTTCAGGTCCCTGCACTACGGTTACTGCGATTCTCTCCTGGCGACTCTCATCCACTTTCGAAATTCACTCTCTCCAAAGGTAATTCTTCCAATTTCATCTTCAATTCTTCAAATTCTTGCTTCAATTCATCGATATTTACCAATTTTTCTCTAAAATCCATTCTTTTTCTCAAACATGAGCGAAATTGTCATCGATCCCCAAGCCGGGTTCAAGGCTTATGCCGACCCACACATTATTGAGGGGAGAACCTTGAAGCAAGATGATATTCGCACTGCCGTCCTACATATCATCCATGAACAAGGTTGGAGTTTTTTCATCAACTCCAAGCCCCGATATACGCAGACCTTGTTTATGAGTTTTATTCTTCCATGAAATACTATAAGCGTGAAACTTCCTTTACCGCCGTCGTTGCCGGTAAAACATTCGGGTTCAACACCCAAAAACTCTCCGAATGGTTTCATCTTGGCCTTGAAGGAATCGCCTCTTATTGCAAAAAGGGGTGGATTTCTGATTCACAAGACTTCAACATGGACTTTTGCCTCCGTGTTCTCAACAACATTGCTCTTGATCATGTTTTTGAGAACCGAGACTATATCTTTTGCCGGCCCGAAGTCCAAAACATGACCGCAAATAGGTTCATTCTCCTCAAAATCCTCAAGGAAAACATAATTTCCGTCCTTAACAAGGATAAGCAAGTCGGTATTTATTAATGCACACTCCTCTACTTCCTCCTCACCCACAAGAAAATGAATCTTCCTTCTCTCATCATTCAACACATGTACGAGAGCTCGGGTCGCCTCAACAAACCCTACGGCATGGCCCTTAATTACCCATATCTTTGCCAAACAAGGAATTCTTGAGGTTTGTCCCTCCCGCGTTTGCTTTCTTGAAGCGGAATGCTTTGGGTATTAAGGCCTCGTCAAGGTTGGAAACGTTTACTACATGAAGCGAGAATTTCAAAACCTTGATGCGGAAACAAGAGCGGTTTACGGTCCTCGGCGATCCATGTCATCCTTGCCTTCTACCTCTCAAGCTCCTAAAGCCGAAGCAAATGAAAACCCGGAGGTCCCCGTTCACGCTCCTCGGGTCAAACGCTCAAAGTCCGCCTCTCATGCTTCCTCGGCCTCACTCTTGCATCGCCATTCTCACATGTCCTCTTCATTGAAGAATCCTTCCAAGAAGTTCAAAAAATTTATCCTCAAGACTGTGCTGGCACCGATGAAGAAGCTTCAAGAGAGCACTACGCCAAAAACAGCATCAGACGACTGTTGATTAACTACTGTTAATGGAAACACAGTAGTTGGAAAAAAACAGACTACTGTAAGTTTTTCTTGGCAACAGAACAGTAGTCTAGGTTTTATGCTTTAAAACTATTTTTAAAGTTTCAAGAAATAGTAATGTATCATTAGTTGTTTGTGTTAGTTCAAAATGCAGTTTTTCTTACAACAGTTGTCAATAACAAGTTAAGAATACTCTCTTTAAACAGTAGTCTGGGCTTTTAGTCTAGAACTGTTTTTAAACTTATTAGAAACAGTTATCTATTATTTGTTGTCTGTTTCATATGGTTTTTTTGCCACTGTTGTTTATAATTGTAATAGAAGACTGTTTGGCAACAATAGTCTATGTATTATGGGTAGAACTGTTTTTGAAGATGTGAGAAACTATCATCTATCATTAGTATTCGGTTTCATAAAAAAATACAGTTTTTATTGCCACAGTTGTTAATAATTAGTTAAGACTACTACTTAGTAACTGAAGTCTGGTTTCTCGATAACAGTAGTGTATTTATATAGCATAGAACTGTTTTTGAAATTCATAAAAGTCGTAATCTATTACATGTTGTCTATAATAAGTTAAGAATACCGTTTTTAAACAATAGTTAGACTATTAAGCGTTCAACTGTTTTTAAAGTCCTGAGAAATAGTAATCTAATGCCAGTTGTCTAAGAGATGATTTTTTGGTAGAGTTGTTTATAATAAGTTAGGAATACTCGTTTTAAACAGTAGTCTAGCTCTTAAGAGCTTAGAACTATTTTAAAAGTTCAGAGAAACGGTAATAATTTTTACAATGAAAATGTAAACGCTCTCTAACTTTACTTTCATACACTCGAGCAAAATTTATACAACACTCAAATAACCGTTATTTTAAAGAATTATATGGACATGAAAAAATAAACACTTCCATTCAAATGAAAGAAAAAGTACATGGACAGGCTGGGTACTGTCCCGCTACACACAAAGGGAATTGGGAACCCATACAATCAATCAATCTCACATCATAAAACCAAAAAACAATTAGAAGATGGCGAGATGCAAATAGAATGTATGGCCCAAGGTTTAGTGAGGAATGGAGTGCGACAACCAGAGAACAACTTTTTTGGTCAAGAAACTGCTCTGGTGCTGCAATTTTGCATGGATATCTCTCAAGCTTCATCCTTCAACCATTCCGTCGATATCCTTAAGCAGCTGCATCTTTCAATCATCCAATCTGAAAGTAATCATACACACCTTAGAGCAGAAACCAAAATGGAAAAACCCACCAACAAAACTTGACAGTACAAACCTTGGAAAAAGCCACCAAAAGAACAACAATATAATTACCCCCAAAAAGCAAACAAACTATGGCCAAACATATCCATCTGGAGGACAACTTAACAGCAACAGCAATATACAGGAGGACAAGCACTGCTAGCAGCGACATGAACTGCACATCATGAAAACCCACAAACAAAACCTTGACAGTACAACATTTTCTATAATAAGAAAAGATTAAAACCTAAAGGGCAGCCACAAACCCCAAAATGTAGGAAAACACAATATTAATTTACCTGGAAGTATAAATCAATTGCTTGAAACACAAGGCCCTTACCATTCCAAAATAGCAGTATGATTCCACCCAGAAAGCAAAAAAATATGGCCAACGTAAACATGAAAAGTCTTCAACACAATACAAAATGACATAACACACAGAAACAGCGAAATACAGGAGGGCAAGGACTCTCCAAACTGCTAGAAGGGTACATGGCAAGCTAGCATGCCC